TGCAATGCAACAAAGAATGCCAAGGAAAAGAACCTGATTAAAATATATAAAAATCTGCACAAGATTAAAAAGAAATTCGAAAAGGAGAACCCGGCATCAATACCTTTTCCCTTAATGCAACAACTGAATACATGGATATCCAAAGCTTCAGAAATAGTAGCTGATAATTCACAAGCTATCTCAGCATTAGAGACTCTTAACACATATACAATTGATAGCAATACAACACTTATCATGGGACAAATGTATATCACCAAAACAATCCTGAAGAAAATATGCATACAAAAAGAAAGAAAGCGAACCAGCCTGGAAATACTAGAGGCAATCGAAGCTAGATGTCGAGATCTCAAAACCAATCAAAGAAGGATAGTTCAAACGCTGACAAACAACTTCAGGGACAAGATTACAATTGACAGGATCAAGATAGTCGATGAAAATAATAGAGAATATATCACTATAGATGAGGAAGAAATCTTGAACCAGACAGAGTTTTACTATCAGCAGGCCTTCTGTAAACGTAACCACAACTTTGATCTCCTGGACAGCCAATGGAAGAAACAATACGAGCCCAAAATTGAGATACAAGAGGAATGGTACAGTAGTATAGAGGAAGAGATCTCGCTAAATGAATTGGAAGAAGTTCTTTCTGATCTACCCAACAACAAGGCAGCAGAACCATCCAAGATAAAATACAAAATGCTCAAAAAACTAGGTCCCATAGCAAAGAAGACTCTTCTCTAGGGCTCCGAAAAGTACCGAACTGATATCGAAGTGGTATTGAAATGGTACCGATCTATAGTAAATTTAATATATGGGTTGTGACTATACATGTGGTAGAAATTGGTAGATCCTTGACGCAATTGACGCAATTATTTGACACAATTAATTGAGTCACTATTAAAACATATAAAATAATTGAGTCAGACGCAATTATTTTTGAGGATTTTGGCAATTGAGTCAATAGCAAAATAATTTATACCACATGTATAGTTATAATCATAAAATTCAAATTGTGTTACACACTTCTTACAGAAAGTATATAAGAAAAAAGAAATATAAAAAAAATTTTTAAAAAAAAAAACAATAAAAAAAAACAATAAAAATTATTTTACTATTGACTTAATTGTCAAAATTCTCAAAAATAATTGCATCTGATTTAATTATTTTATGTTTTAATAGTAACTAAGGCTTCGAAAAATATTGAATCAATACTGAAGTGATATTAAAATAGTACTAATCTATAGTAAATTTAATATATGGATTATAACCTACTTATATAAATTTATAGTAAAATTTTAAGTATCAAACTGGTATTGAATTGAGGATTCTAATAATGATTCAATTAATTGTGTTAAATAATTGCATCAATTACATTAGGGATCTACAAATTTCAACTATATATATAAATTCTAACTATTATTAAAAAGGTTATTTCTATAAATCAAAATTCAAACCTCTTATAATTGCTACTGTATTTACTTCTTACTACTTGTGATTAATCAAACTGTTTAATTTTTATTAAAATAACAATATTCAAGAATATTTAAAGATATTTTCAAAAGAATATTTCTTGAAACTTTATACTTAAAGACTTGAAACAGAAAGAATATTAGTTTTCTATTGTTAATTTTTTTTAAAAAATTATAATTTCTAGAACTATTGCTTTATTTAATTAGTAAATAGTTTCAAGATTCCTTTTTTTAATTATTTTCAAGATAAATATTATAACTTCAACTTGTTATTAGATTATGATAAAACTTGAACCTTGTATCTATTTTCTGTTTTTAAAAAGAATAAAAAACAAAAAAAAAGAGAAAACAAAAAGAGATTATTTTTTTTTACTCACAACTTTAATTTTATCTAATACTTTTATATTACTTTTTTAATTAAAAACTGTTCAATTCTTTCAAGAATCAATTATATTATTATATTTAATATTATATGATTGAAAATATATAAAAGAATATATCTTATTTACTTTTTATATAATTAATGTGATTAATCAATCTGTGACTTAATCAATTATCTTTTAGAAAATTCAATATAATTAAAAATTCAAAATTAAATTAGGATAGATAAAATTCTTCAAAAAAATTAAAAAAAAAAATATGTTTAAAAAAAAAAATAGAATTTAAAGAAATAATAAAGAAATTAAAAAAAATTTTTTTTTTATTTTTTTAAATTTTTAAACTTTTTAAAAATCTTTGGAAAGTATTTTTTCTTTTTAATTTTTATTTAGAAAATGTTTTTGTTATAGATTTCTTAAATAAATTTTTTATATTAGTTACAGAAATAAATAAGAATAATATTTTAAAAAGAAAAGGATAAATAAATGATAGCTGTTATTTATAAGGATTCTAATAGTATAATTTTGATATCTGTTTGATATCAGTTTGATACTTAAATTTACTATAAATTTATATAAGTAAGTTACAATTTATATATTAAATTTACTATAGATCGATATTATTTTGATATCACTTCAATATTGGTTCAATACTTTTTGAAGCTCTATATTTTTTTAATTATTGAAATAAATTTATTATTATTATTTAAATTAGACAAATTATTAACTAAAAATATTTAAAATATATTTATATTTAGAATTATTTTTTTAAAATAGTTTTATATAATAGTTTTATATTTTAATTATTTTTGTTATTATATAATTTTATTGTTTAAATATTTTTTTATAATAATATAATAATAAAAAAGTTTTTTGTTAAATTAAAATAAATTTTTTTAATTTTAAAAAAAATTAATTAAAAAAAAACAAATATTAAATTATTTAAACAAAATATAATATTAATAATTGTTTTTTTACTATAATTAAATATATTATTAAATATATTATTATTAAAAATAAATATATATTTTGTTTATATATTTTGTTATATTTAATTAATAGGTTTGAACTTTTAATTAATTATTATTTAGAAGTTAAATATAATTAAAAATTTATAATTAAACTAAGATAAAAAATAAAATAAAGATTTGAAAAAATAATGATAAATTTCAAAATTAAGTGATTATTTTTTTTAAAGTTTTAAATTATTAAAAAAAAAAAGAATATTTTTTTTAATATGTATATATATTTAATAAAATATTTTAACTTTTAATTTATAAATAGATTTATTTTGTATTTATTTGTAAAAATACAAAAAAATTTATATTAAAAAAAAACAAAAAAAAAAAGTTTATAAATAATAATATTATTAAGAAAAATATATTAAATTTATTATAAAAATATAATAAAACTTCTTTAAAATATTTGTTTTTTAAATTGATAAAAAGTTAGTAAAAATTGTTATTTTTAATATCTTTTATTTGTATATATATATATATTTATATTTTTTATTTTAACAGTTAAATAGATATTTATTAATTTTTTTAAAAAAAATAGTAATATAAATACAATGTAATATTATATTAAACCAAATTATTTTTTATAATAGAATACTTAATAATTAGTTAAGATTTGTATATAATTTTTAAATTTTTAATATCAAAATTATTATATTATCCATATAATTTAACTATTTTTAATTATTTTAATACAAAAAATATGTTTATTAAACTATTACTATATAATATTAATTATTTTAAACTTTTTAAATTCTAAATATGATTATTACTTATTAGTTGTAAATTAAAAAAATGTAATTTTACGTTTATAAACTTTTTATATAATGCAAATTTTTAACGTATATAATTTTGATTAGGCGTTACTTTTTGTGGTAATATAAATAAGTTACTAAAAAAATAATAATAAATTTTTAATTCAATTAATTAAATTATTAAATTAGTTCATTTAAACTAATTATATAAACGTTCATTTATTTCGTTTAAGAAAAGCAATGAAAATTAGTTTCATCAAACAAAGAGACAAATATGGTTAGGTTCCAAACCATTTTATTGATTTTACTGTTTTACCTAGATTTGCTGTCCTTCTTCGTTATCCAGTGTAGTGTCTCGTGTAAATGATATACATATTGATCACGGGAAACTTTAGCTACCCATAAAAGGGAAATAATGAATTACGCCATGAAAATGGGTCAAATATTTTCTAAGGTTATTCCGACCTTTTTTCAATGAAAAACGGACTCATTAAGAGGATGAATGAGGTGCTGCGCCACAGAAATTGTAATTAAAATCAATTGTGCGGGGCACTTAATCTTCAATGTAACATATCACAACATAACTATTGTAATTTTGCACGTATGTATGTATGTGCGTGCGTACGATTATTTCTTTTTTGCACCTTCCATTCTTTCCATTTGCAACTGTCTCTTTTGCACTGTTTCTTTCGTTCCTCTCAATATAACCACCACGCATAACCCACTTTCTTTATAAACAACACACACATGCAAATTAGATAGTTGGCATAAACTAAAGAACTTATAAACAATACTTATTTATTGGTGGAAAAGTCTCGAATCCTCTATTTTTGTTTTTGTGGGTTAAGGAATATATCTTACAACGATGTCATTGGATGTGGGGTCGCAGTCGCAATTCGATCTGTTAAGTGACTATTCTTTTCTCGGTAAGTTTTTTTTTTTTTTTTTTACTATTCAACTCCTTCCATGTCGCAACTCATTGCATTAGACCTGTTGGTCTTCGGGATCTATTACGAGGAAAAGTTTTCTTGTATATAGGGACGAAATTATAGTGAATTATATAGCAATATAATAAATGACAGGCAATTTAGCGTGACGATATTAGCATTATTCGATAATTAACAATTTAAAAGTACTCTGTTAAAAATTATGTTTACAAATTCTTTTAGAATCTCAATGCTAACAAAAAAAAATGTTTTTCTTTCCTATTGAATTACAGAACGATCGGTTCATGAGGTTTATATATGGATATGGTTTATAATTCATGTATGGAGGGTAAGACAACCTTTTCTTCGAATTATGTTAGTCATGGCGATAAGGCTAGAGTAAAGCTTATTCAATTTTTTGATTCTGATGTAGTGTGACCAATTTGCGGCATTGAAGTGGCATCGAATACGATCACTGGAATTAAGGTCATACGTCACCATCTTCATATTACTGGCATTACCGCTAGGTTCATTTTATGATATTGTTTCGGTAATTACCTGCTTTCTTGATTTTGGGGTCAAGGCTATAGTTCGATTAATTTTTTTCCTTCCAAAAAAAGTCCAAAATAAAATACACAGAAGGCCTATATCTATTTTCAAACATGAAGGTTCGATCTAAACCGGAAAGCATGTGGTCGGATGACAATAAAATGTGGATCACTCCAAATTACTATACCGAAATGGTGGGTTTCAGCTTGCAAATGTAAGTTTTTTCTCTCGTGCATGCTTAGCATAAAATTATTATTTATTATTTATATTCTAACATATCTCATCACAACACTTTTATTATTATAGCGGAACATTGTTTTTATTACAATGTTTCTGGAATTATCTATCCAATTCAATTGCGAAAATTTCGTTCATGTCAAGTTTTGAATTTAAGCTATATATTGTTTGTAGCTCGATATCTATATGCATTTATCCAGTATTACAAGTTATCTTCCGAAATAGCCCTTTACTACGAGAGGTATGCTAATGGAATCATCTTGTGTATTTACTACACATCTATATATCGATTATTTTAACGCATTAGAATTCATTAATTCATTATTTTTTGTCCAACTTCAGGTTATCCCCCAATTATTATTCGCTTCTCAATTATTTATTATATCCATGTTAGGAATTCGAACGCATTTCAAATTTAACAAATTAATCAAGGATGCATCAGGCAACAGGAATATAGCACACATCATTGCAAAAATTCGATACTTTCTTGACATGAATAAAGTACTCACGTTAACGTTGTTTGTGATGTGTGCAAGCTTTTTCGTGTTGGCTATTGACCTTACTTCCACCACACGACCTATTAACGGTAGTAAGATTGCCAGGTATGGAGTGTATTGGATTGCTTGGCGCAACGGTTTAATAAATTAATATATAGTTATATTATTGTAATTATTAATTGTTTCATTTCAATTTCTAGTGATATATTGATAGCCCACATTAACATTGCATCAATAATCGAATGGCTAGTTCTCATTTTAATATTTTATCCCCGGAAAGGATTTGTGGGTACAACATCTGTCAGTAATATAATTAATACCGGCTCTATAAACGGCGAATCCTTTGCACTTTCACAAACCAAAGCTAGCAACATGCCAGGTACCGGTGCGGGAATTCCTACCTCTCCCGCCGATCCTTACACTGATCGATTTGTAGAAAAAAGTGCCGCTAACACGGATAACTATGCTATGCATTCCACCTCTGCCACCTCAAAAACTTCTGCGAATATCACAGTACCCCCCGTGGCATCTACATCGATATCTGAATCGCCAATGTCATTATTAAAACGAAATATTTCGATATCAAAGGATGGAAAGATGGTCTACAGCGAAACAAAACCTTTAGGAAAGGTTCATGGCTCTGAATTTGTAGCTGTCGAGAAGGCCGACCCAAGTGTGATGTCATACTTTATGGATAAAGATGGTATAGCAAATTCGATTCCACCCTTACCACAATCATTGGATGTGACAAGATCACAATCGCCTTTGTCACAACAGATATCAGCATCTTCATTAAATGATACGAATGCGACAACATCTGTCACGGTAATGGAACCGGAACCAAGAAAATCATCACAACAAGAAAGAATGATGGTACTACAACGACAACAAGAAGATTACAATGCATTAAGGATGGCTACAGCGAAATTGCAACAACGGGACCCATCTGCAGAGTTGGAGCGGTCTGGTGGCTTTGCATCATCAACGGCATTGGAAGAACTCACACAACCGCAAATAAATTCCGATATAACTAATTACAATGCTCCATTAAGAGAGGAAGAGGATGATGAAACTTCTGAAGAATTTTTTTACGCGATGTAAAAGATGAAGTTATTTAAAATGTATTTATTAATATTTACCGGAATTAAATTCGGTGAATCACTTGTTAAAATAAGGATATAATAAATTAGCATATTGTTAATAAAATATTATTAACTAATTTCATAATAATTTTGTCATGCAAAGTTGCAGACATTTAGAATTTATTATTTTTCTCATCTGGACGAGTAATCTAATAAACTTAAGAAGAAATGCATATATTCATTGGAGTGGAACGATATTTTACTGTAAAATTTCCGTAGGCGGAAATCTTGGTTTATGAATAGTTTTTATATAAATAAATCAAAAAAATTTTTTTGTAGTCGAATTATTATATATAATGTGCATATGCTTTTTACGTTTATTGTAATAAATGATTTTTTTATTACTCAATCGAATGTTCTTAAGATGATGGTAATTAACATTTGAAATAAAATAATTAGAATTGACCGTATCAACCATTTCTGACTTTCTTACAATTAAGATTATTTTTAACTAAATAGTTCATTGCTGTATTAAAAATAAATTATATGTCATCACATTAACTATAAAATTTCGATTTTATGATCTAAAAAACATAATTATCTTCAATAATTATCATAAATAAAAAAATTGAACTCTAGTTCTTATACTGTACATGAACAATTGTTATAAAGTTTATAAATAAATATTATTAATAAAGATATACAAAAGCTGACCACCATACAGTATCAGTCAAATTGGATTATTTTGAATTTAGAAAATCCAAACCTATATACAAGTTTGATATTGGAATTACCTCCAGCAGCAACATTAAAAACTTTATTCAAGACATAGAATCCTAGACAAGTCTTCTGTACTTTTCAAGCTGAAACAAGCTTTATAATTTTATCAAAGATTCTATAAACAAGTTCATTAAAAAGACTATAATTAATATGGCCTCCAAAGATCTTTGCATCAATATGAAAAAAAACTCAAAAACCAAATAAGAAAAATCAACAACATTATCTCAAATCTTAAAAATAATTGTACAACAGTACAATTGCCAGATCAAGAATTACAAATTCTTTATAAAACAATTAATAGCAACTCAAACATCTCTCTTCAAGAACTAAAAAAGCTTATAAAATTCCTAATACAAAAAGCAATAGTTCAAGTTCAACAAAAATCTCTTAAAGAGTTTTGTTTAAACCAAAAAAAAATAGTCAAGAATTTTTATAGCAAGCCCAAAAGTTATATTAAAAAAGCTCTAGACTTACTAAAGTCAAAAAATTGATCTTTCTAAAATTTCTAATAAAAACAATTAATTAGAATAAGATTTCATTGTAATTTAAGAATTAATTAATATTTTAAAAATATTCTGTATAAAAAAAACTTTAATCTGAAAAACTTTTAAAATTGGCAAGACAAATACTTCTTCAAATTAATTGACCAAATTATTTATAACCATATATATTTTTCTTTCAATAATAACATTATTAATGAAGCTATCTATAATTTTTCCAAAAGAAAATCTTCAAAAAAATCCAAGATTAACTATAATATTATCAAATTATTAAAAAAAAAAATTACAAACTATTTATTTTAATTTTTAACCAAATTTTATTTTTCTTTTTAATTCTATATTTTTAAAAGCAAATTATTATTATTTCATATCTAAAAAGCTTTTATAGAGTCACAAACTTAATAATACCAAATTAATATTTTTAGTTGACTTTATAAAGAAAATCTTTATCAAAATAATTAACAAAAAATTCTTTGGCATATTGAAGTCAAACTCAATTCTATCTAAATACAACTTTGCAAGAACTTTTTAAATAAAGTACTCTTGAATCCCTTATTATTATTAGCTTAATAATTCAAGCTACAAATATTAACAGTAAAAAATTTTGATTTATTTTTTTTAAAATTGTTAAATCATTTGATTTTATTTCAATTTTAATCATAAAAAAATCTATGAAAAGAATCAAATGTCTTTTCCAACTAGTAAATCTTTTTATCAACCTACTTATCAATAAAGAAATATTTATTAACTTACTCTTTAGTCCTATAAATTTCTTTTTGATTAACAATATATAAAACAGAAAAAAACTATTTCTCCAATTACTTGAATCATTTTCTATAATGTTTTTATTTTCAAACTTTTCAAATACAAAAAAAAAACAAGACTATTTGACTCCTAATACTCTTGCCTATATAGATAATCTGATATTAATTATTGACTTCAAAGCAAAAATGGATATTTTTCTTGAAACAGCCAATTAATTCTTTCAGATTAATGACATTATATATAATAAAGACAAAACTAAAATTATTAATAATATCAAAATTAAATATGGAAATTCAAGAATAATCAATTTTAAAAATTTTTTAATTCAAGTTCTCAAGCTATATAAAATTATTAAATATTTTGAAACTTTTATTTCCCTATAAAATCTTTTTAAATTCAATAGAAAAGCCTTTAATTAAACAACTACTCAAATCCTAAATAAATTTTACAAGCTTTAATAAAAAGAAAAAATTAAACAATTTATTTGTAAATAAATAATTATAAGAAAATTTGAATACTTTTTATTTATTTCCTATTTAAACAAAAGTCTTCTTAACTTCATTCAAACAAGAATCAATAAAACTATTCTTTATTTGATAATATATATTTGTTAATAAAATTCAAAATTGTAGAGTTTTTACTATTGGCTTCAAAGATTTAACTATAGTCTTTATATTTTTTAAAACAAATTTAATATACTTTTTTTTGAGAAGACAAAATAATTATTTCATCTTTTAAATTTTATTATAATTTTATATTTGAAATATTTTTACAATTTTTGTATTTTTATTTATTTACTAATACTATAGAATCCTGTTTATATTTTTTGTGTTGGTCCTATATTATTTATAATATAGTATATATCTTCTTTTAACAAATCTCTTATTTGCTTAAGTATTAACTTAATTTCCAATTTGTTATTTTATTTTTTCATTTCTTCTTATACTTACTGTATGTTTTAAGATTTTTCTTATTCTTTTTATTGTTTTGACTCCTTCATTTGAATATTTTGATTTTCTTGTTTGACTTCTTGTGATGATTATATATGTGGTAATATTGAATTCAACTATTTTTTAAAAACTGTATTATAATAAAATTACTAAAAAACATATAGTAAAATAATTGGAATTCATATTTAATTTGGAATTATATTATCAATCAAATTTCTTTTTATAATAATACAAATACATGTATAGTGGTAACCATTTTTGCTATTCTTTAATTTCAATTTCAATTGTCTCTCTTCTTTTATAGATTTTTATATTTTTTTATTTTACTATTTTTACAGTTGATTTTCTTCCATTATATAAAATTCTACTATTAATTCTTTGTTACAGTATCCTGGATTTTTTTTTACAATATATAGTATATCTTTTTTTGTATTTCTATTGTAATATTTTCCATTCTTTTTATATTTTATATTTATTTTCTCTTTATTTTTATAGTAATATTATATATTACTTTAAAAATATATTTGTATACTGTTGATTCTATTTTATTATATATATTACAAAAATATACAAATCTATTTCCTTGATATTTCTTTCATAATTGTTTCTTCAGTATCTTTTTTTCTATTATATGCCATTCTTTGAATATATCCATTGCTTTAATTAAATTATACAGTATAATATGTTCTTTATCCTTGTGAATATTGAATACTCTTCTGTTGTTTTCTCAATATTGTTAATATTATTCTTACTATTTCAAGAAATATAAATACTATATGCTTCTTGTTAGTTAGGGATTTCTTTATTTTCTCCAAGTGATATTCTTTCAATTTCTTTTGCTATTACAAAGTATTCTTTTGGATCAAAGATCTGATCCCTTGATATCTTTTTCTTAGGATATAATACTATGATTTTTTATATTTGTTGTTGAACTCTTACTACTTCTTTTATATCAATATATTTTGATTTTTATACTATTTTCAATATTTGTCTTGTTTTTCCTATTATTTCTACTATAATATCTACTGTTTCTATGTCTATTTGAATTTTTTGTTCAAGTTATTTAAATATTTAACTTTTGTATACTTAATTATAGAGTTGACTCTACTTTTATAATATGTTAATTTCCCAATATACACAATTTAGAATAGTTCAAAATATTTTTTTTTTTTGTTTACCCATTGCCATCAGTGCAGGTACCTCTGATCACCGTTGCTAGTCTCCCGGTGTTTCTCCGGAGTACATGGGTGAAGGTTGGTCCTACTTACTCGTCTTAGGCCTAAGCCTCTAAGTATAGACGGTGGAGATGAATAAGTGCTACATCAAGACAAGCAGGCCTTGCTATCTGCCTTGACGATCAATGCCTGCAGTTACCGGCTACAGTATTTCAACCATTCAGTTTAGCCAAGACTTACTAGGATTTAGTCAACGAGATATCATTGGCGGGATGAGGGTACACCAGTACACCAAATCCGTCTGGGAATCGGACCCAGCCTTACCCTTCCTAATCTAGCCTAGCAACACATGTGAAGGTTACGTTTTATGGGGTCATGTAGTCAACCGTCGCAAGTGTACCCCTTAGGATAGAACATCCCGTGATACAAGCAATCTCCTGCACCCCCGACCGGATC